CACCTGAAGTTGGAAAGGTACAGTCATTTTGTAACGAAACCTTTCGCTAGCTATGTATGTACTGTCACTAAATGGGATTTGAAACTTAATATGGTCTTCCTCCTCTTTGTAAAACCGGAAACAAAACCTAGATCTGTGTGAGCACAGGATTTTTCGGGGAAGCTTGATGGCACTTTCCACAATCAATTGAACACATGCATTGTTGAATAGACAGTAGAACATCCGGTCGAAGACGAAGTAATAGAACGCTCGGAATCACAAACAAAACGTGCTACAGCCATCCTCAGTCAGTAACATAATTGAGTTAATCTCTGAAATTCTTCGCGTGATTAAATGAAAAAAATTCGCGTGAATGTTCTGCGTTCCAACGTGCGAAGAGCATTGAACTGAAAATCAAGCGAAAGTGGGGTTGGTGGAGAGTACTGCTTCCTTCACCCGCTCGATTCTGTCACGAAAACCCTATGCACCAGAAATCCTCACGAGTGTCATGTGTGCGGGAACGTGCGTTATCCTTAAATGTAACCGGCAAAGCAATGGATGTAACAACGCCCTTCTCACCCTGGCGACGATTTTGTTGAATGGTGCACAAAAGTTCATCTAGCTCGGGCAGGAAAAAATGTGACCAAAGAGAGTCCTAAAAATACAAGTTAACGAACGTGCCTGTTCTCGGTGCTACATCAACTGGCTAAATACAGCACAATTTATAATAGCGGATTAAACAGGCGATGAGAGAAGACACGCATCTGCGAATGAAACTAGAGTTTAAAGAGACGATGGAATTGTGACACTTGATGTTTGTGAGTGTGTATGCGTGGAAAGAGGCAGACGGAGGATTGTTGTCAATGCGTGGGTAGGTGAATGAGTGAGAGTTCGTAAGCGGAGGTTGCGTCACCAGATTGTTCGTGGATGGCACTGGCGAGACCAGTGTTCTTACAAACTGTTCCTGGACACACTAGGGGACTGGGGTGGGGACGGATGTCAATCCCCTCGCCTGTTGACAAAATTAAGAACTTGACCCCCTTGTATAACCTGCTCTTGGTCGCGGGAGAAAGTGCTTTGCAATTTCGGAATAATTGTTAACCACTGTGTGGTTCCGAAACGCTATTGGACTGTCCTTCGCCGAAATCATATTAAAATCATCAGATGCTCACATTAAAGCGACAAACGTTTAACAATTGNTTGGATTGATCGTTGCAATTCCCTGGAAAAGCAGTTGTTGATCGTATCAGAGGCAATACATCGTCTGACAGATGGCGAGACGGAGCAATTTTCGGCATACATTAAAATCATCGAATCTCAACAATCGGTTAAGAAAGAGATCAAGTTACGCGGACAAGTACCTATCGCAGAAGCTTGCAAAGAATTTCCAAGCAATCCGGAACAGGTGTGTTCATAATTTCTCCTCTATGCGTTTCAATAAGCCAACACTAGAATTGTTGTCGTCAAGACGAAAACTTTGCTCTCCAAATCACGTAACTCACCAACTGGGGCTGGACACTCAGTTTGAAAACCTATTGGGGCACCTAGCAGATTTAACACCATCATCTCACCTCGAGGCTCAGAAACTTAAATCCAACTTGGTTCAGACATGCTTTCAGTGTCTAACACCTACAGAGCTTTTAAAATCGGGGCGCTTCGAAAAGCTAAAACACCTGAAAAACAATAAAGACATTTTGATCACAAGACCGGATAAAGATGCGGGTATCGAGCAGACTATATTACCAAGACGAACGAACTACTCGGTGACAGCACCAAGTTTACATCTAGCACCGGGGAGAAAGACATGACTCCTGGCACAGAGAGGAGAATATTTGAGGTGATCAGACGACTAAAACAAGATGGCGTAATCAGTTTGTCTATCTCTGAAAGGATTAGACCGATCAAGACCACAATCCCTCGGGCATACGGGCTACCTAAAACCCACAAGGATGGGACATCGTTTTGGATATGAATACTTCGCTGTAACACGCTTGGACAAAGTGATTAACTCATCTACCTTAACCAGACAGAAGAGACATCGCCAACTTCAGCCTGCTAGACTCGTTTGATTTTGTCAATCACATTGCACCAATCAACAAATGTCCCCGCCGGATGTTGTTTATTCATATGCCACGCCGAGAGACCATTGAATTCATCGCTAATTCCCTAGGAAGCTTCTGTGGACCACCCGAGCTCAAGAGACTTCTTTAACTATGCACTTACAATTTCAGCTTAATGGTGCAACTTAGAGGGAGTATCAATGGGTTCGGCATCAGAATCACTAGCAGCAGACATTTTCATGGTCAATTTAGAAAACAGAGCAGTCAAAAACCACAGAAGAATCCCTTTCATATAAACAGTATGTGGATGGCATCATATGTATATAAACGAGGCTGATATTCAAGTTAAGTCAAGTATTTGCTGTATGTTGGAGAACTTCAATAGAGCTCTTACGCAAATAGAGTTCACGCTAGAAAAGGAATTAGTGGTCTCGCATTTCCAGACGTTTTCTTGTCCCGACGATCTGATAGTTCTATTCGTAGGAGCATTCGCCATAAGAAAACATGGACGGGGCAGTACACACACTACCAAAGTTTCGTCCAACTGCAGCAGAAGAAAAATTTGATTCGCTGCCTAACCACCACAGTTAAGAAACTTTGTTCTTCGGACTCTGTCCAGTTTCAACTGGGAAGAATGCGAAATGTTTTTCCATGGAGAATGGATATCCCAAGTCATTCATTCGTAAAACGTGACACCATATTCGCTTAAGGCATTATGTAACAGCAAATAAGAAGCATGTCTATTTCTCCATCCCATTCAGGAGAGAAACGATCGCGAAAATAGTGAGTAGACAAATTCAAACTTCAATCAAATTCACCAATTTTGTGACCGAATCCCACATTATATTCACGTCCAAAACGGTCCTCTTTATGCAGTTGGATTACTTCCGGATGCGACCTCATTTTTGT